AACCTTGGACGGATTTAAATGTCTTCTCAAGTATCTTACTGAGAAGCATCACAAATTTTTTACTTACGACACCAAAACTGAACGTCTGTTCAAGGTTGTCATGAAAGGATTGCCCAGTGGTGAATCCCTGGATCAGATCAAAGATGAACTGGCAAAATTACTTGGAGTAGTGCCACTCCAAGTAATCAAAATGAAAATGAAATATCGTCCTGGCGATTCGCGCAAAAGGATTTCTAATGATTTTTATTTAGTTCACTTCAAGTCTAGTGAACTAAACAACCTTAAGGCCTTAGAAAAAGCTAGCCTTATGCTCCATGTCCCAGTGAAGTGGGAACACTTCAGGAAGACTGGAGAAAATTTCCAAAACCTCACTCAGTGCCGTAAGTGCCAGGGTTGGGGTCACGGAACTAAAAATTGCTACATGCCAGCTAAATGCATGATTTGTGGTGATTCCTCCCACGTAAAGGACGACTGTCATGTGAAGGAAGATCCTAAGAAATTTAAATGTTCAAATTGTGGTGAAAACTACAAATCCAATTTTTGGAAATGTAAGACTCGCAAAGCGATCCTACAATCTCGTTCTAAGTGACAGGTAGGAAACGATCCACGTTTCCGACCAGGTACAAATTCCACTGCTGTTAACAACGGTCAGCGAGAAACAAATTCGACATTCGTACCCGTAGGAAATAATTTGTAATCCCAACAGCTCTACTTTCAATTACCATAGAGCTGATTGGGAGCAATATCGAACATTTATGGAATATAACTTCGATCCAAACATTCCTTTGCAAACCAAAGATGAAATTAATTATGCTCTTGAATCTCTGACTACTTCTATAGTTGCAGCAAGTGCTGCCTCAGTACCAAAATGCGAGGTTAAATTCGATTCAATTATAATAGACGACGATCTTCAGCTCTTGATCCGTCTTAAAAATGTCCGTAGGAGACAATATCAAAGAACACGCGATTCTGCCATGAAAGTTATCTGGCGGGATTTGCAAAAACAAATAGAAAAGCGATTCTCTGCCCTGAGGAACAAAACTTTTGAAAATAATGTTTCTAAATTAGACCCGAGTTCCAAACCCTTTTGGAAACTCACAAAAATTTTGAAAAAAAAACATCAAAAGCCTATTCCAGCGCTTAAAGAAGGTGGTAAAGTTTTGATCACAAATTTGGAAAAAGCTCAGAAACTTGCTAAGCAATTCGAGAGTTCCCATAATTTCAGTTTGGGTCTTACTAGTCCTATTGAGAATCAGGTTGCTCGGGATTTTCTGAATATTTTCTCTCAGGAAAATATTTTTGATGATTCCTGGGGGACTGATTTGGACGAAGTAAGGTCTATAACTAAAAAGTTTCATAATATGAAAGCTCCAGGTGATGATGGAATTTTCTATATCCTCATCAAAAAACTCCCAGAGAGTACCTTGTCTTTCTTGGTATAATTTATTTATTTAATTAATTTTAATTAACCGATGTTTCCATTTGGCATACTTTCCTGATAAATGGAAAAATGCAAAAGTTGTTCCAATTTTGAAGCCGGATAAAAATCCAGCTGAAGCTTCTAGCTACCGTCCAATAAGTTTGCTTTCTTCAATAAGTAAACTTTTTGAAAAGATAATTTTAAATAGAATGATGCTTCACATCAATACGAACTCAATTTTTGCAGATGAGCAGTTTGAATTTTGCCATGGGCATTCAACTACTCATCAACTCTTAAGAGTTACCAATTTAATTCGTTCAAACAAATCTGAAGGCCACTCAACTGGAGTTGCTCTTCTAGACATAGAAAAAGCATTCGACAGTGTTTGGCATGAAGGTTTGATTGCAAAATTGAAAAAGTTTAATTTTCCACTTTACATTATGAAATTAGTTCAGAATTATTTAACTGACAGAACTCTGCAGGTAAATTATCAAAATTCCCAATCCAATCGACTACCTGTTAGTGCAGAAGTTCCTCAGGGTAGCATTATTGGGCCTTTATTGTATAAAATTTTCCCTCCGGACCTCCCTGATTTGCCTCAGAGTTGCCACAAATCTTTGTTCGCTGATGACACAAGGATTTCCAATAAAGGCAGAAGTCTTCGTGTTATTTGCAGCAGACTGCAGAAAAGTTTAGATATTTTCTCTTCTTATTTACAAAAATGGAAGATTTCTCCCAACGCTTCCAAAACTCAACTTATAATATTTCCACATAAGCCTAGAGCTTCCTTTTTGAAACCTAGTAGTAGTCACATAGTCACTATGAACGGAGTTCCAATTTTCTGGTCAAACCAAGTGAAATTTCTTGGATTAATACTTGACCAAAAATTAACTTTTAAAGATCACATTGAGGGCATTCAAGCCAAATGTAATAAATATATAACATGTTTGTATCCTCTTATAAACAGGAAATCCAAACTTTGCCTGACGAATAAACTTCTAGTATTTAAACAAGTTTTTAGACCGGCCATGCTTTACGCTGTGCCAATATGGTCTAGTTGTTGCACTACCAGGAAAAAAGCACTTCAAAGGATTCAGAACAAAATTCTGAAAATGATTTTGAAGTTGCCTCCCTGGTACAGTACAACCGAAGTACATAGAATTTCGAATGTTGAGACTTTAGCACAAATGTCCAACAAAATAATTAATAATTTCAGGCAAAAATCGTTGCAATCCTCAATTGTACCGATTAATTCCCTTTATACTTAGATAAGATTTAGTTTTAAGATATCAATTGTTTTACTGACATGCAGGTTTAAAAAACCTGTTCAAAATACTGAATTGCCAAGACATGAACAATGTAAAAACATTTAGATATATATCATAACAATTAAGGCTGGTACGTTACTGCAGTAACTGGAGCACCTAGGTTAAAATGAAATGTAATTTATTTTGAATTTGGAACAAATAAAGAGTAAAAAAAAAAAAAAAAAAAAAAAAAAAAAAAAAAAAAAAAAAAAAAAAAAAAAAAAAAAACCAGTGCTGTGTTATCATTCCATCCATATCTAAAATTAAACTATCGACTTAATTTTCAATAGCGCCCTAAAATATCCATCAGTACCGTCCCAACGACGCGTTCATATAGATAAGATTGGTAAATAGCAGATTTTTAGCGATGGGACCAATCTTAGATCCATTTCCCCTACCTTGCAGAGCTGCGGTTGCCCTGGACTTATGGCCTACATTGATGCAGCGGAATGAAATTCATTAGCAAATTACGGTTGAGATTTCAGAAATGATCGTGGTGTGCGTCCAATTTGAAGTGTGGTGTGATTTCTGATAAGGTATTAGTACCTCTGGAAGTGAATTAACTACCTACGTGACATTGGTTTACTGGATCCCGGTAAGTGTACCTTACTCTCCGCTTTGGACGTGAACTGCTTGCCTTCAATAAATTGAGTGATTTGACTAGTAACTTCAAAAGAGGTTTTCCTCGGACCGCTGATTCTGAACTGTATTGTCCCTTCATTGCGCAACATTTACCGTTACCGTTGGGGCTTCCGGTCTTCTTTGCTTAGCCAACCGGTTAATCGTATTGAAGCGATACTTCTAGATTATTATTACGCCTATACTGTGGGCTCATAGAACAATAAAACCGAGCCTGGTTAGTAGGTGAACACAAAATACTAAAGTAGAACATTCTACCAACATATAGAGTCCAAAAGATTCCTTCAAAAAGGCACAATATATGCGACCTAAACTTCGGATGAAAACAAAACAGATATTTGGAGAGGAACCAGTCGATCACAATCCTCTTATTGAGTTTAACCGGTATTAACAGAGAAATAAGACGCGTTAACCACGAATCCTTGGGAATGATCGTGACACGCTTCATATGGATGACGAATCGTCCTCATCTCATCCTCAGAAAATGGTACCCATTATTTTAATCGGCATCCTTTCCTCACAAAAAGGCTTTTCATGTACTGCCAGAGGGTAGGGGGAGAGGGGCAATTTAATTATTACTAAAATGAACGAAATTTACGATGTGCGCTTCCATCGTGCAAACTTTATTTTGATTGCCGAAGCATACACTCAAAAAATTTACCACATAGGTATCTAATGGATGAAAATCTTGTGAATTTCACATAGCTAAAAATCCCACCACAAAATCACATGAATATCATGAGGCCGATGAAAGTCATATGAAAAAAGTGTCGGAAAGGCATTAGAAAATTAATCGTTAAACTCTTTCTTGATAATGTTGTGGCGCGCTCGGCGTAGTTGCCCTTGCGGAGCAGACGGTGAATACGACCGACTGAGAACTGCAGCAGCTGGGCATTCCATGACGGCGGCCCAGTATACCGGAGCACTGGCACCAACGCACTCGGCGTAGTTGCCCTTTCACCCCCAGGCTCTGCTGCCGCTGCTCTGCTGCCGCTGCTCTGCTGCCGCTGCTCTGCTGCTGGGTCGACGATCGGATAGACAATGATGGAACGGGCGACCTTGTTGGACGCTTATATAGTAGAACAGAAAATATCAGAGGTGTCAGATGCTCGCATCTGATGTCTCGGTTGGAGAAAGTATAAGAATATAAAAAAATCAATCGATTTTCACCATCTTTAGACAATGGTTTACTTTTAACCATTTTTCAATAGTTTACAGAATGAAATCAATAGTTTTGAAACATTCAGCAAATTGCTAGAAGTATTTCCAATCGATTGATGCCATTATCTCGTAAATCTATCGGGAGACGGTTGAGTTATTATCGTTCAAAATCTTTTAATTTTTCGTAACGCATCCAAAATGACTGTTTTCAATTTTGTACCCCCGTATGTTGCCGAAAGACGTTATCCAACGTAAAAAAAAAAATGTGTACATTGTTAATGAACAGCCTCCTAGGATAATCTCTTTCTATTATGCGTATGATTGCAAAAAACTCATCGTAATAATACCTCCAATTAAACGAATACCTACAAATCACATTCAATAAAAAAAAAGCCCTCATAATTCATCCAATCAATCCATTACTTTCAATAAATATCTCATATAAAAAAGGGAAAACAAATTACAATACTCACGCTAATATTCCGCCACAGACCGGACGAATCATCGGGGACGATCCTCGCGTGTACCACACAATAAGCATACGCTCCCTGGTAGTTTCGCCGGCAGTCATCGAAATCATCGTACTCGAATATCTTGGGAAACTTGATGAACTCGGTCACTGAACGATCATCGAAGCCACCGCCACAGGTGAGAGGAAAAATACCGGCAAAAGCAAAACAAAAAACAAAAAAATACAAAGCAATCAATTTCTCGCCAAATCAGCGCCGTCCCAATCATCATTCTCATTCGGCACGCGGCGCTTACACTCAATAAACGGATCACTGTGCTGGGCCTGCGTCGTCCGGCAGTGGCCCTCGAACAGCACCAGCATGAGCAGTAGCATCGCCGATTTCGTCATGTTCGTCTCTTTCGATGTGATGCCTGCGTGGAGGGATGGAGGAGACTTCACTCATGTGGATATTCAGGGGGTGGGGGTGACGGGGGGGATGGTGGTAAGTCTGTTTAAAAGGAACGCGAAATGTGTGTCGAATAAATACGGCTTCGAACGATCGCAGATCGGGGTGTGTTTGGTGATTGACTGACTGGTTCAACTCTTTGACAGACAGCGTGCCGCGCGATGGGTATAATGAATCCATAATTAGTAATAACTTTAACAGCTTGTTCCGCTTATCGATGTTTATACGATCACATTTGACTGCTACCGGATATCGGTAGAGATCACAACAGGTAGGTTCGCCATTTAAAACATATGCACTAACCCGAGGAAGCCCATTTCATGTCCTACTCGTTGGTGTTTCGTCATAACCTTAATAGAAATGTTAGCTTGGCCGTCGCACAGTGGCAGGTCTCGGGACAAAAACCGTCCAAAACCTTAATTATATGTTTATCGGCCTAAAATCGATTATCGGCCTAAAAGTTAAATATCAGCAAATAAAAAAGCTGTCAGTCCAATTCAAAATCACTTTTTGCATATTTTCTTTTGCAAACGTTTTGAAACTGTTTAAAATAATAGCATTTTTGATATTCGAAATTTTTCAAGATCCTTATATTAAATTATTTTTCGTACACGCAAAACTCACCATAGTTTGGTTCTGCATAACAATTTAAGCATGATTGATCATAACAAAACAAAATTACATAAGAGTTGGAATATAAAATATTGAAGATTTACAATCAGTCAGTGTAAAATAAGTTCAGCTAAAAAAGAACAATATAGGGGAATTTACGTATTCTCGTCAATCTAAGCAGCGTCCGAACTTCTATTAGCGATTTCTCAGCGTCACACACATACATGACAGGTTTGTTTGTTGACATTTATCTGCTGCTTCCTGTTCTACCAATTCCAATCGACAGAATTGATCAAAACGGGTTGAACATGTTTTTACAACGCTCCAAACTTCTCAGGTGAGTGAGACTATTGTCGGCAGTCTCTTTTTCTTCGGCACCCTTTCCATTTGAACTGCGTGTTAACCAGCTGTTCTATTATCGGCAACTCGAAATCAGCCGTATTTTGTAGTGTGTATATTTCATTTAAAGAAAAATATGGCATAACAGGATTGCACAGTCGTAAAAATGTAATCAGGTTGAAGCTGAAAAGGTAAGGAATCGGCTTTTTACATTCACCGAAGAGTTTTGATGGGAAAATACAGTAAAATTAACGTTTCAATTTCGGTTGCCGAAAACAGTCAATGGGTGCCGAAGCCATAATTTACCCTATTTATATTAAGACTAGCTGAGTGTGCCCGGTCTTGCTCGGGATTCAATATTAGCTTGAGTTCATGCGCCGATTAAAAAAAAAAACATGCTATATTGTACGTAGCCCCCCCTCCCTATTATCTAAGGGGCTACCCCCTATGATTATCTCCTTATACCCCCACACTCGCCTCCACATGCCTAATTTGGTTCCATTTGCTTGATTAGTTCTCGAGTTATGCAGAAATTTCTGTTTCATTTGTATGGGAGCCCCCCCCCCCCCCTTACAGAAGGGGGAGGGGTCTCGAACCATCATAAGAACCTTCCACGGCCCCAAAAACCCCTGTATACAAATTTTCACGCCAATCGGTTCAGTAGTTTCCGAGTCTATAAGGGTCAGACAGACAGACAGACAGACAGAAATTCATTTTTATATATATAGATTTGAGTTAAGGTGAAAGTTATTTTGCTTTGCCACTTCGAATTTTTGGCGGCACAGATCTCAGAAACTGAAAGGATTTCGTGTGCCAATTTGTAATAACTCTTTTGCTTTTACAATTTCATGCACGGAAACTTTGTAGTTTCTGAGATTCGTGGCGCCAAAAATTCGAAGTGGTAAGGCAATCTAAACCAAATAGCGGCCATTTGTGGATTCCATCCACTTTCACCTTGAAAAAATAATTATATTACACCGAGTATTACACAGCAACAACAAATTCAAAAACAAAACAACAAGTTAAAAAACAAATGAAATTAAACGACAAAAAAAGCTCATTCCGAATTTGAGAAGACATTTTCTTGTGCACTAGAAACGTCTGTTTCATATGTTTCTTCCATCTATAATTTCTCCAGCCGATCTTCGCTTTCTTGCATGAAGTCCTCTGGGAGTAACATTTGCAATGTTTCTGTCGTCAGAACCCTTGCCTTTTTTGCGGGATTTTTATTAATCCTTAAAGAATATTTATTTACTTTCACATATGATAATCATTACGTTGTTTACCAGTGATAACAGGATCAGAACTAAGCAGCAGTCTATTCAGTATAGCTTCTTTTGACAATTGCCCTATTGGTAGCAGTGCATGTTCTATAACTGTGGATTAAAATTTTATGCAGAATTGGGGTCATCGGATACCATGTATACAGTCGAACGTATATCCATAGACGTAACTCTAGGACCAGAAGGTCCCGAAGAAACATGCTCAATTTTTTGGCTCAGCTCTGGTACTCTCTTCGGTCCAGAGATGCCAGATTTACAGACATCCCAACTAACATTTTCAGCTTTGTAAGCCAACTTTTCCAGCGTAGTGCTGTAAAGTAGCTGAAAAGAAGCTGCAGATACAGCTACAAGCAAAAGCTAGCAAAATAGTTTTGGAGAGCGTTTACTCAACTTTCTCGCAATCATTATTCAATGTGTCAGTCGCACTGAATAACATCAGCCAATAAACGCTAATGTCACTTCTATACACACACTAATCAACTTTCAACTTGTAGCTGCAAAACAAAGCTAACAAAGTGAATATATTACTCATTTTATGGCTTCTAAACAACCAACCACTCTTGCTGAATAACATAAACATCAAAAGTGCTTTTTCAACAACTAAACAACCTGTACTCAGCTTATAAACTGTGTTAGAGCAACTTCGGAAGCATTTTCACAGTCAACTAGGTTTATTTTTAGACGTGTGCAGTTTTACAGCTTTTACTCTGCTCTTTTATAACTAGTCGAGAAAAGTGATTCATGTGTACTATTATAAAGCCTCTACTCAGTGATTTTGTTGTAGAAGGGAATGTTCATTTGTTTACATAAGTTCAAAGTGTTGGCGTAGCACAGTTGGTAGTGTCAAGGTTTGCCAATGCGGTCGTCTCGAGTTCGATTCCAGGTTCCGGTGCAGGGTAAATAATTTGGTGATGATTTGTAACTAATTTCGATTAATTTGATTCACAGCAAAATAAACTAATAAATTCCTTCATAAAAAAGCGTAAACAGTATTTAACCCGGCTTCAAGAGAAAGCTGTGTAGTGATTATTGGACAACCGGGAAAAGGTTGAATAAGCGCCTTTCAAGTTCACGCACAACTAAACAGCAGGATAACAGCTGTATAGAAGCGTTAATGGATATGCAATAAGAGCTTCTCCCGACTGTTCCAACAGCCATAAGTAGCTGACTAAGTTCGCCAAATTTGCTTGTATAGAGGTTGAGTAAAGGTTTCCTCATATCTTATAACGTTTGAATACAGCTTGAGACTGTATAAATGAAATGAGTACAGCGTTTACATTGTGAAAATTGTTAGTTGGGCAATTACCTACGTCACAAATTGCATATATGTACGTTGTTTTTTTGATTATTAATACTAGAACGATCTTATGGCGGTAAGCACCAACTGATATTATCCTCGATTTAAATCTCGATAACGAATGTTGGATTGATTTGGTATCGACAGTGCTATTAACCAATTAAATCTTAAGCAAACGTTTGGTAGATTTTCCAAACAGGAACGGTATTAAAAGTAAATCCAAGTTGAAGTTTAGCGCTATTAATGTGTTCGGCACAAAATGTACTAACACGATTTGATGCAAAAGCGCACTTTTATGACCGATACCGCAGTTCCAACACTTCTTTGTTCATTTTGAAGCGAAATACGCAATATTAAATCCATACAGATATTGATACAGATTTTTCGAAGAAGAAATACAGATAAAAAGATTTCTATAAGCAAAAATACAGATTTGCTTTTGGCAACCCTGACCGGCAGAGCTGGTTGTCTATATAACAGGTAGCTAACTGCGCCTTCGCATTAGTTGCGATTCACCCGTTCAACGGTAAACAACCAGGAGGCATGACTGGTCGTGGCAAGGGTGGCAAAGGATTTGGTAAAGGAGTCGCCAAGTGTCATCGTGTGATAACATCCAGTGGTGGTGTCAAGCTCATCTCCGGTCTGATGTACGAGGAAACCCGAGGTGTGCCGAGAAGATGTGATCCGTGATGCCGTCACTCAATACGCAGCTGCCTATACGTCATCATCATCTTCCAAAGCCTGTACTACCATCGGCACTTTTCAGGGTCACCAACATTTTCCAAAAGAGTTAATTTTCTGAACATGTCCCAACTAAAATTCATATCAAAAGGTTCTTTTCAGGGCAATCATAGTCATACAAAATAGTATAAACAGAGAGAACCCCGCTAAAATTCCTATTCCTACACAAAACACAAGCTTATGCTGCAGTTAACAAAAATATTTATTATATCATACCACGTAGTCCTACGTCATCATTGCGTACAGCCCCATTGGGCTGTCCTTTGTAGTTTTTTTTATTAATTGATTTTAACGCATACGGCGTAAATGGATGCATTGGTTCAATTCGTTAAAAGCAGGTATTTATTGATCGAACATGACTTTTAATGACATTCTTAAAATATTGCATCTATCTTATGACCCCCCCCCCCCCCACGCACAAAACTTATGCTAATTGTATGCAGCCCATCTACAGACATTTCTGAAATTCACAGATATTTTTCGCAGACTTCTGAAGAAAAAATCTGGCATCCCTGCTTCGGTCCCAAGCTCGATTAGCTCGAAACATAGGAAAATCAACGAACCCCTCATTTTATCTGTCAAAATTTCATAGCGAATCAAAACAAACATAATGCAGTACTAGAATTTCAACTAGAATGGGGAACGTTCATCGATTTGCTTGGAACCGATA